AGGCATGACGAAGCGGATATCGTCCTCTTTTGGAAGGCCAAACAAAGTATTTTCGCTTTCGCAACAAAACACACAGTGTCTTCACAACATGGCAGCGGCAGCAACAATAGGCATACTACAGCGAGAATCAAAGTTACGCCTTCTTTCTTTGGGCAGCATTACGCAAATCTTCCCACATAGTGAGGTAGATATGTGGGGGCGTGTTAGAATGAGCCGTTTTAGGTAGGTGTGGTTGACTCTTAACTTTTATAAAGAATATCTCTTTGGATTTGAGACTTTAGTCTTTGCAACTTTACAGATCTTCTTTATGCACCAAGAGCTTGTAACACTCCAAAGAGAAAGGAAATTTGAAATCGCATCATATGACCCCTTTAAGGTACATGATCAGTTACACTTCAACTTCAACCTTTGAACTCAGGGTCCACTGGTTGGCAATAATAATAACAATCTTATTAAGGGGTGTGCATCTTTGGGTAGAGCGTGAATAGATTCAATTTATGATTTATAGGTTTTCAATTCAATTCAGGAATGATTTCTGCAGATTCAGAACAATTCGATTCAATCCGATTCACAATGAGGTTTAACTAGGGAACAATTTTTGCAACAATTTTTGCAACAATTTTTGCGAATTTGAATAAATCCAATTCACAACGATATCTAATTAATGATTTGATTCTGTATTTTTGAGTGCATTCATAGGATTATGTGAATGCTTCTCCCAATGTGTCTTAAGCAAGAAAAAGACAAACTACTTAAAGGGACAGTCCACCCAAAACTAAAAATTCTGTCATCTATATATTTTTTTGGTACTGTGGAAGTCAATGCCTACTGTCAGCTGTTACTCACAGTCTACAATATATTTTCTTTTGTGTTAGGCAGAAGGCAGAAACTCATACAGGTTGTGGAACAACTTGAGGATGAGTAAATGATGACAGAATTTTCATTTTTGGGTGAACTAATTTTATTGCACCCAGAAACATGAACGTAAAAACATTAATACATGTAAAACAGACTACTTGAAATATAACAAAGTGTGCAATGAGCTAATAAAATACTTTAGAGCTGAGCAAACCTAGGTAAACCTAAAATAAATACATAAAAATATATGTGTATATGCATATTTTAATTTTTTTAAACAAAGACAAAAATATTATTTTAATAATATTAAATATATTTATATATAATATTTAATTATTACATTTTTATTTACATGCACCAATATTGACAATAAAAATTAAGTGTTTTGTTTCAGTAGTAGTGGCCATGCAACAAGTTGGCCACTTTATCAATGTTTTGTGCATGAGGACGCAAATGATAGTGTGCTACATTTCCAATAATTTGCGCATGCAAGTAAACTATTGTTTATATATTTTTAAATATTGAATAATACTTCCCTGAATCATGACTCATTTGATTTTTAGCATTTTAAATCAATTCCTGACCGAAAAAAAACCCCTCACAATCCAAAAATGTTTCAAAATCTGTACATAGGCAGTATTTGTACTCAATGCATCAGGATCAAGTGAATCGTTACACCTCTAGATACCATAAATCTGATGATACTATGCTGACATCACGGTTCAACAAAGCAGCAATTCATTGAAATAAAAGCCACAGAAGTTCTAATGAAAAGTTGTTGACTTTCCATGCATACAGAAGTAACAAGCAGCCACAGACGGATATTTTTAGAGACCATTTTAAGAAAGCTTTGCTTTTTTTGAGTGCAACGAGCATCCGGTGGTCCGTGAGTGACCAGTGGGTGTGTCATTAGAGACTCAGACTAATGCTTTTATAAATAAACCGACTAATCAGAAAGACTCCAAGGCTTATCGTGAACTTCCTGCAGAATGTGAGGACTGCATCTCGACCTAGAAGAGCTTCTGTTGCTCATGGACTACTGAAGCCGTGGCTGTGAGAAATGAAACCGCCAAAGCCATCATTCAATACCCACCACATTCCAGAAACCCTTCCCACCTTCCAGCATCCATCACACAGGCGTACCACACACGAACACGACCGCACTGAAACCCTCTGGACTTGTGCAGTGCCGCTCCATCCTCCAGCTGCAAACAATAATGAACGCCTCTGCCTTTCACTGTTTGCTCGCTCTGTCATTCATCATTTCCCATCATCCCATCATCCCAGTGCAGGACAGTAGTGGGCGATCAGAGCTCATAATAGCGTTAACGTTTAAACAGTTAAAAGGGGCCGGTTGTGTGTGGCTGAGGTGTGTGTTTGTGTGTTGGGGCCGGCCTGTCTGCATGCTCCAGACTAATGGTCACTTTATCAGGCTGGCTAAGACATCCTCAGGCCCGGGCAGACGTCCACCTGCTTCAGTCGTAACATGAGCCGCAAGTGAGGGAAAAAATCAACATGCATGCTACAACTGAGAAAAAAGTGTGTATGCGTGTGTGTCTATGTTAGCACCATACTCTTTTAGGATATTGTAACATAATATACAAAAATACATGATGAAGGCAAAAATTATTTTTATTTAATAATATTGAATATAATATATTTTATATATAGAATAAGTAATTGATTAAATAAAAGTTGGTAACTCTTTACAGTAAAATTTCAGTTGTTAACATGAACTTGTTTACTACATGATCTAACATTTAGTTACAATGAATAGTACTTCTAGTTGTATCTGTTAACATAGCTCCTGCACTATGTGAACTAACCTGAACAAACAATGAACATTAACAAAGATCAATAAATGCTCGCTAATTGTTAGTTGATTCTAGCAAATGCATTAACTAACATAAACAACTGAGAATTGTCGTAAAATGTTATCAACCTACAGTCTTTGCTCTGCGTTTAACGTAACATTTTACATAAGAATAGTTTCATTGACAACTTGCACAATTTTGTTTTACTCATGTTTAATAAACAAGGTGTTCACATTTAACGCAACAGTATATGCTAGAATGGTTTTACAAATCGAAATCTCTTGATGGGACTCTCATGACTTACCAAGTATAGACACCTTGCTGAGGAACTCTTCATACATCTTCCTCTTCCTCAACGTGCTTCCCTAAAAAAATAAATAAAAAAAAACATTGAAGGAGCAGTTAGAAGACACATGGAGGACATCAGGTAACAGAATCTCTTGCCCTCTAATCAGTCTCTACAGAACAAGAATAAGAAACACGGCGCTGAGAACAAAGCTGGGGGACTTTCCTCAAACACTCCGCTGAAGGAGAACTATAAACATCCAGATTAAAGCAAAGTTTGGGCTTCCGTCTTCCTTTGTTTCTTGTGTGGCCTTTTTCAGCTCTGTCTCTCTCTAAATACTCAAATAAAACACACAGAAACACATTAAGTGGAGACGGTCTCGTAGTAAAGAAAAATCACAAATGATCTTCTTAGTGTCTCAAATGCTTCTTCAAGACACTTGGTTCGCTTGCCTGGTCCGAACCAGAGTTCGATTGCCCCCCCCTCCCCCTGCCCCCGCTGGACTGCGTTCATATTATTTTAT